TGGAGAGAGTGTTCTTCACCCATTTCACGGAAAACGCTGTATCTGCCCATGCATTTGGTTGCCAGTACACATCTACATCAGTGTCATAGGCTAAAACTTTATCTTGACTAATCCTTTTCCCCTTACCTCTGAAAATCAACGCCGGCTTCACCATTCCTTCAGGACTGAAACATATTTGAAGGGTAGCTTGTCGCTTATCAAGCCCACTGCCAGGTTGAGCTACCCATACTCTATGGTCCCTTCGTTCCTTTCCCTTACTCATTGGAATTTCGTATGTTCGGTTGCTCTTGACTACAAACGGGAGTGGAATTTGATCTACATTGATTCTCTTTTTCGGTGGGAAACGCCCCCATTTTTTATCGTATGTGGGTTTGCCACTTCCAGACTTAATCAACTTTTCTCTCAAATTTGAATGCCATTTCATCAGAATCGGGGTTTGCTTCTTTACGTTAGCTTGGCGCTTACGTTAAACACACAGCATGCGGATCTTATTTTTCCTTAAGAAATGAGTGACTACTGATTTTGGCAATCTGTCAGCATTCGGGCTTTGTTGTAAATGAATTTGATTCGCTCGGACATACAACCACTCAAAGTTAACTTTTAGCCCCTTTTTTCTTGCTTCGGAGAATTTGTCATAAAGTTTGTTAAACAAAGCTTTGTGTTTGTCGCCTCTTTGGCATTTCATGAATAACGCGTTTTTCTTTTTTTCGTTGTACTTGTTGTAGATTTCTTTTTCCTTTGATTTCCATCGCGTAATCATACTCTTATGAACGTTATACTTTTTTGCTACATCCCTACTTAACATACCGTCGTTTAAGTCATTTAGCGCATCAACCTTTTCTTTTAACGTATAGCTCTTCCGTTTGTCAGCAATTTTTGCAAACAATACATTTAAACAAACTATCTTCTTTTTCCTTCGGCACTACATTTACCAACTCACCACGATGACAAATCTTTTTGGTAAAACCAAAGTTGAACAAGTTTGTCTGCTTTCTCTTACTCATGATCTTAACAGCGTTGTCAACAACATACACAACAACAACACTACTGTGATTACTTTCTTTTGAAATCGTTTATCTAAAAGACGTCATTACATTGCAGAGAAAAAAGTTTACATTACATTGCAGAGAAAAAAATTTAAATTAAATTGCTTATGTTAACGTTTGTTCAGAACTGAAGTTGCTTAGTATTTTTTCACATCGAGTTCAGTTGTTATAAACAAGTTGCTTATACAAAAAAAATCGAGTACGCAATCTGTGCGTAACATATGCAATAGAAATAAAAACGGCCCTAAATTAAAACCCTGAGGATTTCCAAAATAGTTTAAAAATTACTTTCTAATCGTTTGATACCTTTTAAATCTAAGAAGGTTATTATTTTTCACTCTGTATTTCTAAAGTATTTTTATTAGTATCTTAAACTTTACAGAATCAAAATTTTTTAAAAATCAATAAAACTTCCTGTCGTAACTATTAAAACGCGTTAACGTTATAACGGCACAATTGTGTTAAAAATACAATTGTGCCGTTTTTTATATTTATAGAAAGCATTTTACATAGTCTTTAAAAAAATTTGATTTAATTCTGGATAAAAAGTTAAAATTAAACAATAACCGAAAAATGTGTAACTTGTAGTTTCTGATAATTGAAGTTTTTAATGGTTTATACTAAATGATTTAAACTCTGAATTTATTTATTCATAAGAAAAAAAAGGTTTATTTATTAGAAAAAACTTTTTAAATTTGATGTTTACATAGAGCCACCTCGCTTTGTTTCAGGGAAATCTGTTTTTGTAAATTTTGTAAAAACTTATTTTATTTATAATTATTACATGCCCAATTTTTTTACATATTTACACGTCTCAATTTTATATATATACACTTATGTATTTATTGATATTGACGAACAAAAACTATATCTTTGTTCGTATATTGGTCTCTCATTGTCATATAGTTGGCTGCTGGGTGTTTCATTACGTTGCGCCACAGTTAGATTTATGTTGTAGCAGTTACGTAGGGCTAACGAAGCAGTACTTGTATACACAAGTGGCTTTTCATTGGTCTAAGGTTGGTGTTTCACTCCTTAAGGTTGGTCCACTATTGCCATAACTTAGCATTTTAGGCTCCTCAACCTATACGGGGCTTACCCAACATAAAAAACTAAGATAGTCATCAGTCAATTGAATTATAACTTTGATAACTAATTAATAATCATAACTAATTATAAATTTTCCAAGATGCGCTAAGAGTATGAGTTGTGTGAAAGCAGAAAATAAAAAAAAAGTTGTATAAAGAAGTTCAAAAGAAAGACTAACAGAAGGCAAAAGTTCTTTACCGTTAGTTGCGACTATTACTACTTAACTACTATAACATGACATCAATCGTCTATTTTATAGACCAAATTTTAATGCAAATTATTTTTAATCCAATTGCAAATCAATTGCAATAGCGCCAACTAACGCTTGATACCGTTTGCTCAAAGTACGCGCTGCTCAGGATGTGGATTCTTTTAATGAAACTCCTTCCTTTCATAATTTTTTTTAATGGCTGGGAGCAATCTTGTTTAAATTCAAATTTAGCATTATTTTTTAAGAAGCGTTTATTTTTAATTTATTTATTTTTTTGTTAAAATTGAAAAAATTAGAAAAAGTAGATGTTTCACAAGTTTATTTGAAAACAATTTTAATTTAAATAACTTTATAAATCTTTATAAAAATTTCTTTTATTCATGATAAAACACGGGCTATAAGTTTTTCTAAAATCTTTCTAACTGGTAAACTACTTCGAGTATTATACTTTAAAAGGTTCTGTGTTTTTATAAACGTCTTTGAGGTTTGGATGATTTTTTAAATTTTGTTGCATGAGTTACTGAATTTCTATTCTTTTCGAACGGCCTATGGTTTTAATGTCATGCAGTTGGTAATAGGTCACTTTATCAAAAATTTTATCAACTATTTTTTTGTTTTTTTGTTATTAAATGACCAAGTTTAGTTTTGTTATAGAGTTTTGCATTAATTTTTACCTAGTATTTAATTACTATGATTGCAACTTTAAATTTCAATT